GTCTGCTGCCTCTTTTATTTCCTTTCACCCTGGCATGTTTTGGTGGTTTGTACAGCCAAAACAGTTTCTTGATGTGAGACTCCTATAAGCTGTTAACTCATTCTAGTTAGAATTTGTCAGTTCGTATCTTTTTAAGCATGCTCATTGAGTCCATCAATAGCAGCGCATGAGCTGCTTTTGTTCTCCCAGCCATGCAAGTGCCCCTCTGACAGCTACCATCTAAATCATCCAGCAATAGGATCCCCCATTAGACTGTTTGTTACTGAATTCTCAGAAAATACTAACTTCTGGTATTACTAAAGTCAATAAAATTAAACTTTAGCTTTCTTTTCAGGCTGGCCTCTTCTTTCTTGTTCACATACTAGTCATGAAGGACCTGCTTCTGACATGCGAGTTCATACAGGCAACCCACCTGATGGTCTGATCTGATCATAGAAAACTGAACGCAAAGAAGAAGAAGAAAGAGTTCACATATTCATTTCTTACATCTAATGTTATAGAGATTATCTTATATTACCTTCAGTTTCTCATATTATCTTTCCATTTGGTTGTTCATCTACTTTGGTTCCATATACCCCTCCTCTGTCAGTGAATGCCTTGTAGAGTAAGTACAGTCCCACAAGGCATTCTTTCTGACTAGGCAATCTTTGTATTTCCTGTCTTTGTGTGTAATTTTTTTTAAACCGGCACCATTAAATTGGAATTTTGCGCTGGCTGCTGAGGATGGGGATGAAGCGCATATGGGAATGCCTGAGTGCTTTGATGTCAATTCATGACTCAACTCAACTCAAATCAACTATGCATAATTTAAAAGACAGGCAAAAAAGTAAAGGACATGGTGCATGGTGCCTTTTGCAAAAGTCACCAAAGCATAGTGATTTGTTTCATCTTGGTATCCACCTCACCTTCGATTTACCTTTACATTAGCTGTAATTAGACCCAAAAAAAAACTCTCATGTTTTACCTTTACACAGTCCTGATGCAGGTAAGAATCAGGGTCATTGGGTTCCCCATCTGCCCAGTAGACGTATTCAGCCTCTGTACCATCATACCACGTAAAACCAGCTGGCAAAGGGAGACAAATACAGTTAGATATTGTCAAACATTTGACATGTAAAACCAGTTAGGTTGTAGTCATTGTTTCCTTCTAGGATCTCTGTCCCATTAGATTAATCATTTTGCCACAAATTTAAAAAATGAACCAGGAACTCATGGGAATTTCCACATAAAAAATATCCATTTTTTTTATTTTAAATTAAATATTTTACAGAGGTAACCAATAAATTGTTTAAAGTGTTTAAAATTTTTGTTTCAAAAATATATACTATATATAACCTAATTCCTTACGTCCTTCTTAGGACCTTATTTTTTGTTATTTGAAGCCCCACTCTGGCTTTTGCCAGGGGCCGCAATATAGGCAGGTCATCATTATGGCCAAATGTCTGAACGTGGTTTCTGGGACCTCTCCATGGTGATCCTCATCCGCATGGTGGCACTTTGTGTCATCGGGTGTTTATCGCTTGTGTGATGTCCTGGTGGGGTAAAAAAGCCAAGCCAACCCTACTATATATAACCTATACAATATATCGTTTCGACCTTTTTAGGATAAAATTTTTTGTTATTTGAAGCCCCACCCTGGCTTTTGCCAGGGGCCGCAATATAGGCAGGCCATAAATATGGCCAATTGTCTGAACGCGGTTTCTGGGGCCTCTCCACGGCGATCCTCATCCACATGGTGGCACATTGTGTCATCGGGTGTTTATCGCTTGTGTGATGTCCTGGTGGGGTAGAAAGTCAGTCAGTTACTATATATAACCACATCCCAATATAGGACGCAATTTTTTGTTAGCTTTAAGGCCTCACTCTGGCTGTTGCCGGGAGCTCTAATATAACCTAACGGGGTTTTTGGGACCTTTCCCAGGGTGATCCTCATCCGCATGGTGGCAAGTGGTGTCACCAGGTGCTTAGCGCTTGGTAGATGTCCTTGTGGGGTTAAATCTAACTAACTAATATACAGATATATAATAAGAGTAAATCAATAAACAAGAACAGAATTAAACACTAAATGGAATGCATTTCCCAGGACCTACAAGAAATATGTATTGGTGACACATGCCATGACCCATTGACCTCAGTCACTGAGGCTTATGGGAAAAGTTTAAGTCAACCTGACTTTAAAAAGCTTCTGGATTTACATGGGGAAACATGCAATATATTGTATGTGTCTGCATAATTAAACATACAATGAAAAAAAAGATTGTTTTTAAAGAATTTATATCTTGTAAATTGACACTACTTTACAATGATCCAACTCACTTCCTTGCCCTTTGTACAGTCCAATCCATACATCCTTGCCGACGCTTCCAATGAGATTAGTTAAATAACGAGCCTCCCTGTCTGAATGTATACTGGTCAAGTTAGCGCCCAGGAGCTTGCAAGCTGCATTAGCTTGAGCCCATGTCACTGGAGCAGAAGTTTCTATGTGGTAACAGCGTCCATTGTTGTTGGACCAGGTACTGTCAGGGCATCGTCCTGGGCGACTAGATGCTCCAGGGGGAGGAGGGGTGGCTGTGTAGAGAAATAATTATATGTGTACAAGTAATAGATTAGGTAGATGTAACAGTTCATAACAACTTAAGACACCTATAAAAATTTATGATTCTCTGAAAAGTCATCAAATTGTGAAATTAATTACAGGTGTTAAAACAAGGGCAAACTAATAGGTTGATTCATGTGCTCATCAGAAATCTAAAGACTAGGGCTGAGCAAACTACTCCTGGAATTTGGCCTTGATCCAGAACCTAATTTTGTGTGCACATCTGTTTTACAAATCTGGCTTACATTTATGCAGACTGTTGGTTTCTAACCTCTTAGGTTGATGCACTCTGACTCTGAAGGAAACATTCCTAATCAGTCATCCTAGGACATGCTTGTTAGGGGCAGAGAGTCTATTCTTTGTTCTCCAAAACAAAGCCTTGGAACACACAGTGATTATTTAGATTCCAAATTCAAAGAAATGGTACATTTTTAACTATAATCACAGACTCATAGAAACACCAGGTATTACATTCTACATTCAAACAAAATGTCATACCAAAATTAATTTCACAAACAAATGAGAGCTCCATTGCACAAGGTGAAACCTGCCAGTGATCATCGATGGTGTGAGTTACACAATACTGGTTTTTTTGCAGGTTTGGCTCATTCTGTCCCCAGTTAGTATATCTGACTGGCCATCCGTCTGCCCATGCAAAGGATGCGCTTGCCTAGATACGAGGAAAAAACAGTTTATTACATGAGCAACCTGTGTACAATTGACATGGTATATAAGATAGTAATAACTATAGATTTTTTTTCCGTACACAAGAATATACTTTAGTCGTAATATCTGCATATTACATAGTTACAAGAGTATACTTCAGTCATAACATCTGCATATATCATACCTACAAGAGTATACTTCAGACTTAACATCTGTAAATATCATCCTTACAAGAGTATGCTTCAATACTGACATCTGCAGACATCATACTTACAAGAGTATACTTCAGTCCTGACATCTGCATACATCATACTTACAAGCGTATACTTCAGTCCTGACATCTGCATACATCATACTTACAAGAGTATATTTCAGTCCTATCCAGAACTGAGAGATGTCAGTCTGAGACCCCTGGACAAGGATTTCTGCAAACGCTTGTTCTATTCTGAAACATAAGGTGGCACATTTGAAACATTATGATAAGGAACACTCTATGCTGAAACACAGGGTGACAAACTATTGAACATTATGATTAGAGAAGCTTTGTGCTCAAACACAGGGTGACAAATGGTTAATATAAAGATATGGAACACTTTGTGCTCAAACACTGGTGAGAGATTGTTAAACATTATGATTTGAAAAGCTTTATGCTGAAACACAGGGTGACAAATTGTTAATATTATGATATGGAACACTTTGTGCTCAAACACAGGGTGACAAACTAGTAACATTATGATTTGAGAAGCTTTATGATCAAACACAGGTTGGCATACTGTTAAACATTATGATATGAAAAGATTTATGCTCAAATAGAGGGTATGAAACTGTTGAACTTTATGATATGAGCTGTACTTTGCTGAAATACAGGGTGGCACATTGTTAAACTTTCTGACGAAAGATGGTCTATTCTGCAACACAGGGTAACGAATAGCTAAACATCATGACATGAGATCTCCTTCAGCTGTGAATGGCATGTGTAATCATAAAACCTTAACAGTTCTTATGTTTTTTTCTTATCCTCTATTCCCTTTGGAATATAGGCCTTCGTCTGTCTCACCTCAAGCCATACCATTTTATGTCAATTTCTGCAATAATCCAAGAATTTCTGTGTCTCTAAATCTCTTTTCCATGTGGTTCTAGATCTTCCCCTGTATTTCTTGTCCTATAAATTCTAGTTAAAGGACAGTCTAGTGTTTTCCCCAACGTGTTGCTGACCACATTACCCACTGAGAGGCGATAGGTCTATAGTGATCTGAATTTTGCCTCAAATGCCCAATGCAGCACTGGCCTGTAAAGGGACCTTTACTTGCTAGTTATTTCCTAGGTGGCCCGGCTCGCTAGTGTAGTTGGTTAAACCTGACTTCGCAGGCTCCGAGTGATGAACTTCTTGTGATCTGGGTTCATGCCTGGGGGTAGGCAGAAAAGCTACATTCCTTCCAGATTTATGGTACCTATCATGGAATCAAGGCCGAAGGGTTGCGATATCCATGACAACTCATGGTTTCTGGACACTTTAAAAAAATTAATTGAAACAAAAAAATTCCTAGGTGAAAATTAGCCATTCAGTCTCCTTTATACTTTCTCCAATCACCTAATGCCATTCTAGAAAAACAACAAATGTGCATACTATCGCATATTTCATAGTTTTAAGATTCTATGTGAAAATCAATGTGATATTCATGCAAGACAGTAGCATTTAAGTTAACAGTCCTGGGACAAAATGAGACACAGAACCTACCCACTGTTGAGGGTAACTAGATTTCCTCCATCCGCCTTACAAACACTCTCAGCTGATGTCCAGTTAAGAGGATCCTGAACAAACTTGTAACAGCTGTTACTGAACCGCTGATATCCTGGAAGACATCCTGTAGTGTTTGGGGCAGACGTTGGCAGTGTTGATCCTTTAGGTACATAAAAAATTTAAAAAACTATACTTCAGAATTATCAGAAATAATAGATAACTTCTGTAGCACTCATAATTCATATGAAGACTGACTAGCTACAAAATGTTTGGAGAAATCCAGCTGTTTTTCTGTCATTGGGATTATTTTATTGTTAGGTATATGTGCATATATATACAAACATGCATATTAGGAGCGTTAATTTGAAACATGGTCATCCTGCACCTTAATTGTGTGCGTTAACATGATATGTACTGGCCTTGAATAAAATAGCATGTGCTTATCATTTCATGATGCATATATTCTGTTTCTGACCATTGAGAAAATAGCTGAGCTGATCCAAAATCAATCCAAAGAAGCTCAAAGAGCTGTGATTCAGTTTCTTTCATTTGAAGGATGTTGACTAGTGGACATTCGTCAAAAAATGCAGGCAGTGTATGGTAAAAAATATGTAATGAAGACAATAGTGACAGACTGGGCATTAATGTTTTGGAAAGGACAAGCGTTCACAACAAATTTTCTAGTCAGGTCAAGCACATATTGCTGCAACATAACAAGATATCAACAAAATTGATGCAACAGTATAGGTGAACAGTTGTTGAAGAGTAAGTTTGCTTGTGAAAGAATTTGAAAGTTCAAAAATTTGTTCATAAGAAACTGCAATATCAGGTGTGTTCACAGTGGGTATCACAGATGTTGACCAACCACCAAAAGGAAAAATGAATGGGATAATGATGTCTGAACCACTTGCTGCATTACACAACTAAGGGTGATGCATTCCTCTTCCACAAAATGGCGGGCAATGAATCTTGATGTCACCTCTTTGAGTCAAGCAGCAAAAGACAGCATGCAATGGAAGCATGCTAGAACACAGAAGCCAAAATATTCAAATTACAGGTTTCCACTGGCATGATTATTCTGAATGCATATTATTTTTAATCATAAAGGGCTTCTGTTGGAAGACTTCAAGAAACCGGGTGTCAATATCATTTCTACCCACTGCTTCAGATACTAGAAATTCCAGAGAAATTTGACTAAAAGGCTCAACAAAATAGCTTGACTGCAGTCACCCCCACATTTTCCCCATTTTGTTGAGCTTTTTAGTCAAATTTCTCTGGAATTCCTTGTATAAGCTTGGCTGCAGTTACCCCCATATTTTCAAATACTAGACAAGCCTTGAAGAATAAACAGTGTGCAAGCTTTCTCATGGTGAGATTCTGCTGCAGGAAATGTTCATTGAATGTTGCAAAGATCGTATAGACAGCGTTAGCTGGAACAAAGTAGAAGTTCTTTAACAACCAACCTATAGTCCTAATTTGTTGTGATGTAATTTGTTCAGACCCAGGTGCAATAATTCCATACAAAGGACATAATTAATGTGACAGACATGTAATTCAGTGAACAACCACAATCGGTTTTTGCAAACAGCATTCACCACCTACCACAGCAATAGGATGCTTGCCTGAATGCTTAAGGTGACTTTTTTTGGACCAACCCATGGGGAATAATGTATTCAGAATGTATGATTTGTTTAATTCTACTACATATGTGATGCTTCTTTCACGCTTTTATAATAAAGCCATTAAAATGGGTTTCAAATTGATGCTCCTTTTATATCATCAACATCTAGCAGGTTCTTTAGAGAATGTCATTCCCAACACAGCCCTCCTAAAGTAAACTCTATCCATGGTCAGCTATTCTGCCTATTGCACCTTTCTGCCAAAAGTTTCTATTACATTTTATACCCCCTTTCACGCTAATTAATCCCTGCCTCTGTTGCCCAGTATCATGCCTTCAGTTACTGTTCTTTCCAAGACATTTGATCTTTGATGTGGCCAAATTATTTCAGTTTCAAAGATAAAGATACTGTTTATTAGCCAATTTTCTACGATGTTCATACATTTTGGAATGTTAGTATTTCTTTTCTTTATCATCCATGGTATTCAGAGAATCTTTCTATAGCATTTCAGCTCAGAAGCGACTTCCCCAACCTCCTAAAGATTGTGAAATAGTCCACAACTGACATCCATATGTTGCTCCTGATAAGATACATGTTCTCATTTAAAAAAAGCCTGCAAACATACTAGCAAACAAGAAGGAAAAGAAGCAGAAAAGGGCACAAACAATGTTTTTATTGAAATTTTGCACTGAAAAATTAGAATACACATCCAGGATCAACACATATTATATGTAGCTGAAATGATCTTTTCATTTAAAGTTACATTTAGTCATGAATCCTTTAAGACACAGGTGAGGACTAATTTCATATAATAAAAAGAAGAAGAACACCGGGAAGCATGTACAGCAGGGGTCCACTGATCATCAGCAGAAAGATCC